AGAGAGAGGCTATATATATATATATATATATATATATATATATATATATATATATATATATATATATATATATATATATAGAGGCTATATATATATATATATATATATAGAGAGAGAGAGAGAGAGAGAGAGAGAGAGAGAGAGAGAGAGAGAGAGAGAGAGAGAGAGGCTATATATATATATATATATATATATATATATATATATATATATATATATATATATAGAGGCTATATATATATATATATATAGAGAGAGAGAGAGAGAGAGAGAGAGAGAGAGAGAGAGAGAGAGAGAGAGAGAGAGAGAGAGAGAGAGAGAGGATATATATATATATATATATATATATATATATATATATATATATATATATATATATATATATATATATATATATATATATATAGAGGCTATATATATATATATATATATATATATATATATATATATATATAGAGAGAGAGAGAGAGAGAGAGAGAGAGAGAGAGAGAGAGAGAGAGAGAGAGAGAGAGAGAGAGAGAGGATATATATATATATATATATATATATATATATATATATATATATATATATATATATATATATATATATATATAGAGGCTACATATATATATATATATATATATATATATATATATATATATATATATATATATATATATATATATATATATATATAGAGGCTATATATATATATATATATATATATATATATATATATATATATATATATATATATATAGAGGCTATATATATATATATATATATATATATATATATATATATATATATAGAGAGAGAGAGAGAGAGAGAGAGAGGCCATATATATATATATATATATATATATATATATATAGAGGCTATATATATATATATAGAGGCTATATATATATATATATATATATATATATATATATATATATATATATATATATATATATATATATATAAATATATATATATATATATATATATATATAGAGAGAGAGAGAGAGAGAGAGAGAGAGAGAGAGAGAGAGAGAGAGAGAGAGAGAGAGAGAGAGAGAGAGAGAGAGAGAGAGAGGCTATATATATATATATATATATATATATATATATATATATATATATATATATATATATATATATTTTGCTGTTAATAACATTATAGTAATTATAATCTTTATAATAAAAATAACCATTGATATTTATAGTACTAGTAAAAATACATTTTCCCGCCAAATGAAATCCGGTAAGGCAGAGCCATCTAGTGTAGAGAAATTTCACAAAATGTATAAAAAATGAACACAGTATTTTCCCCCATTTTTTGTTCATTTTTACCCGGCGCGAATGGGTTAAGAAAGTAATCTCACAGTGGGCATGGCATGTATGTACATGCCAAGCCCATCAGCATTGGTTAACTATGATTACACTGAATATAACTTTAAATACCAGACTTCTTGTAACTTATCCCTGTGGGCATTTTGAGATTTCAAGGACACCAAACTAAGGGTGTGTCAGGAGTTCTCCTTTAGCCAGAATAGTGAAGAGGGCAGTTCATTTCACCAAACCTAGCACATACAGATGTACCCTGGCTTCAGGGCATAAATAACAATATCTTAGACAAAAGAAATACAAGGATAATTTTCTTTTATTCTTTTTTTTTGTATGATTAACCCTTATGATACAGATGATATGACCATCACATCATGAAAAGAATTGGTTTGAGGGGCAGATGATGTGAACATGCAGTCATGGGAAAATTTGCCTGAGGGCTGGGATGACTTGCTGTTAACCCATTGCTGCTGGGGAAAATGAAATAAAAAATGGGGAAAATGCTGTACTCATTTTTTATATTTTTGTGAAATATCTCTGTACATAGATGGCTCTGCTAGTCCTGATTTCACCTTTCCTTGAATTGGCGGGAAAAAACGTATTCTTACTCGTGCTATTAATATAGATGTTATGTGTTATTTTTAACAGCAAATTAGGATAACGTTAGATATTTTCGTAAATCGATGAAATGGGTGAACAGGTGAGACAGGCAGTTCTTGTAATTGGCTCATTGGTGACTTAGTACAAGTGTAGCCATCTATGTGTAAAAATAATCAAATAAGTTGACTCACAGTGGGCATGGCAAGTATGTACATGCCAAAATGAACAAAGAATGGGGAAAATGCTCTGCCCATTTTCTAAGGTTTTCGCGAAATGTCTGCCCATAGATGGCTCTGCTGGTGCCTGATTTGAAATGGTGGGAAAAACGTATTTCATCCTAGTGCTATGAAAATCGATGGTGTTATTTTTATCATAAACATTATAATCATTATAATGTTTTTTAATATTAGTGACAGCAAAATAAGATAATGTAAAATATTTCGTAAATCAAAGAAAAGGGTAAATGGGCGAGACAGGCAGTACTCGCAACTGGCTCACTGGTGATTTAGTATAAGTGTTGCCATCTATGCATAAAAACAATCAAACAATCAAGTACTCACAGTGGGCATAGCACCTACATACACGTCATACCTGTCGGCATTGGGTTAAGAGAATTTTCCCTGAAGGTCAAAGGTAATAGGAATGACTCAACACCCTTCAACTCTTGGAGGGTGATTAGACTCAGTGGGCATTTAGGGAAGGCTATTGCATTATTTCCATTGCCATGACTAGCAGCCCAAGTTCTATTACAAAAAATTGAATAAAACGAAAAGAAATTTGATGACATAAATAACAAAATGTTTCTTCTTATGGACTGTCTAGGTAGATAATATGGAAGGAATACAGTCTATTGCCATCTAGATGTAGCATATCAAACGACAAATGACAAACTAAAAAAGCTTATGCAGAAAAAAGAGAAATAACAATGCAAAAGGAAAGTACGGAGCCTTGTCACTACACACGAGTAATACAAGCTACATACTCATCAGAGTGGCCACTAGAGTAAGCTTAATGCCCATATTTTGGGCCAAGTACAAGCAGTACAGCTTCCATATCCAAGGGGTTAATCTGAAAAAAATACCATTAAGGTATACTAACCTACAATGAAGTCATATATTACAAACCTGAGAGTGATACTTGGTGAGGTATCTGGATACTCAGGTGGCAAAGACAGCACAAGAGTTACTCTCACATGTTGTTCTTCGATATTCTGTCCAGTTGCTGGGACGACAGTCACCTCCACACCATCAGGCATTCCACTGAAAGAAAGAAAGAAAAAAGTATTAACCCTCAAAAATATAAATCTTGGCAAGAAGTCAACTAGATTTGATTGCAAATCTATATACTTTCTGAAGAACTACAAAGCAAAATGTTAAAGACTGTGTACTTCATATTAGTCTACTTCTACATGCTATATAATTAAGAAAAATACAATGAAAGAAAAATACAACATTTTGTAAAAGAAGAAAAAAAAAAAAGGTTAATTGCAGAGGCAAAATATCAATATATATAAGCTAGTACTTTTTGAAACCTATATTATCATAATGAATTACATATTTCAAGAAATTCTTCTGAAAATCAAAATGTGAAATGCTTTAAAAAACAACATAGCACTACAAAAAAATTCTATATTGGTCAGGCAGTTTTGATACACTTCCACAATTTATTACAAGTAGCTGCCAAAATTTTTACATAGATTTCACTGCCATGAATGTTTTTGCACTTGAACATCCCTCAAGTTTTTCCTTCCCTGTACTTAAAACACAATTTTCAAAGTATAGTATATGTTACTACTTCCCTACTTAAAAGTTTTAATAATAGTTAATGTCTACAAAATCTCTCAGACTGAAAGAGAGCTAGGATAAGTCTCCTGAGGTTTGTATGGATAAAGAACATATATGTATGTATGTATGTATGTATGTATGTATGTATGTATGTGTATACATATATATATATATATATATATATATATATATATATATATATACATACATACATACATATATATATATATATATATATATATATATATATATATATATATATATGTATATTTATATATATATATATATATATATATATATATATATGTATATTCATATATATATGTCTGTATGCATGTATATATGTATATGTATGTATGTATGTATGTATATATGTATATATGTATATATGTATATATGTATATATATACATACATACATATATATATATATATATATATATATATATATATATATATATATATATATATATATATACACACATATGGAAGCCACTGAAGCTTGTCGTGCGGCTCGATTGTCAGGGGATCGCAATTTGCACCGTTCTCTGGCGCGCAGGACTAGGTCACTGTTGAGAAGGGATAAGGAACAGTTTATCAGTAATAATGCAGAGGAGGTCGAAAGCCATTTCCTAGTAAATGACCTTCGTCCTGCCTACCAAGCTCTGAGAAAGCTGAACTCCAAGCCCTCCTCACAGACGACGGCAGTCCGCTCAGCAAGTGGTCAGGTAATCTCAGATCCTGATGGGGTGTGTGTGCTTTGGGCTGAGTATTTTGAGCAGCTGTATCAGGTTGATTCACCAACAGTTAACTTGGATGCTGGTAATGTTGAGATTCCTCTGCCAGACCCACCCATCAGCGAGGATCCACCCTCCCTGACTGAAGTCAAGGGGGCGATCTCCAAACTGAAGAGTGGTAAAGCAGCAGGTGTTTGTGGCATCCCAGCTGAATTGTTAAAGGCTGGTGGAGAACCTATGGCAAGGGGCTTGCATGCAGTCCTGTCTGCCATCTGGCAGACCAGTACCATTCCCCCTGACCTGCTGAGGGGTGTGGTCATCCCTCTCTGGAAGGGGAAAGGGGATCGGTGGGACTGCAGCAATCACCGAGGCATTACACTGCTCAGTGTACCAGGCAAGGTACTCGCCCACATCTTACTGAGACGTATCAGAGACCAACTCCTGAGGCACCAAAGACCGGAGCAATCTGGGTTCACTCCTGGTAAGTCCACAATAGACCGCATCCTGGCGCTTCGAGTCATTGTAGAGCACCGTCGTGAGTTCGGACGTGGGCTGCTCGCAGCCTACATCGACCTCAAGAAGGCGTTTGATACGGTGCATCGCGAATCACTATGGGAGATCCTGAGAATGAGAGGAATTCCAACAAGGATTGTTGGGCTAATAGCAAACCTGTATACAGGCACTGAAAGTGCTGTAAAGTGTGTTGGGGGCCTGTCAAGCTTCTTTCCTGTTAGTTCAGGCATGAGGCAAGGCTGTGTTCTTGCACCAACACTTTTCAACAATTGCATGGATTGGATACTGGGTAGAGCTACTGTCCAAAGTCACTGTGGAGCAACTCCATCAAGTTACAGGTTACAGACCTTGACTTTGCTGATGATGTAGCTATCCTTTCTGAATCTCTGGAAACCCTAGTGGCGGCTCTTGATGCATTTAGCAATGAAGTGAAGCCCCTGAGGCTAGAGGTCTCCTGGACAAAGACCAAGATCCAGGATTTTGGGGGCCTACTAGGAGACCCTGTGCAATCGGTCCGTGCTTACGGTGAAAACATCAAAGTCACAAGGAATTTTAAATACCTCGGTAGTGCAATTCATGACTCTGGGCTGTCAGACCAGGAAGTCAGTAGACGGATTGGCCTGGCAGCAGGGGTCATGAAATCTCTCGACAAGAGTATTTGGAGATGCCGGTACCTGTGCAGTAGGACCAAGCTACAAGTTTTCGAGGCCCTGATACTGCCAGTTT